AAGACTGACCGCAGACCGCCATGCATCAGCACAGCATCCTAAACCTCTAACACGGGAAAGCAAACTGGCCGCGCCGGTACAGATCTGCTTCCATGCTTGACATAGCCAAATGGCAAAAATAAAAAAGGACTTGCCGGCTCATCAGGGATTTCTGCGCAAACAAAGAAATAATGTTACAACAGACTTCAGTTTTGCGCACCTACATGAAAAGGAAAACACAAATCTGCAATAACAAATATAAAAACCTCTAACACGGGAAAGCAAACTGGCCGCGCCGGTACAGATCTGCTTCCATGCTTGACATAGCCAAATGGCAAAAATAAAAAAGGACTTGCCGGCTCATCAGGGATTTCTGCGCAAACAAAGAAATAATGTTACAACAGACTTCAGTTTTGCGCACCTACATGAAAAGGAAAACACAAATCTGCAATAACAAATATAAATGTGACATTCACTTTAAGTGGAAAAATCAGATTTCCTATTGCTTGTGGTCTGTATTGTGCTGTGTGCCGATAGCACCACCTAGAGGACAGTGTGGGTATTAATGGTGCCTTTGCCGGGTATTGGCATCTTTTTTTGCATTATGAATGTCTTCATTTTTTTTTTCAATGATCAACCTAAAATAGATGTAAACCCAGGAAAAAGATGCCTAAAGATCAATGTATCATAAACAATTGGCAGTTTTTAGAACTAGTACCATATGTCATATTGATACCATAGGAACAGGGTCGTCCCTCTAATAAGGCAGCCTGATGCAGCTGCCTCAGGGGTCATGTGGGGGGTAATGTGTGCCTGTCACCCCCTTTCTTGCCAGAGTATCCCATCCACCTTGTGGCAACCAGTGATGTAGGTTGGGCAGGACACCTGCGGTAACACCAACCCCATGCATCGCTAGGGTTGTCACCTGTCCCGGATTCACCTGGACTGTCTGGGTTTTGAGTCCTGCATGTGCTGTGTCTGGGTTTCAGCTGGCCTGGAACTCGGAAATAGCACATACAGGACTTAAAACCCGGACCATCCAGGTGAATCCGGGACAGGTAGCAAACCCTACCAGCACTGATTTTTTTTTTTTTTTTACATTACACTTTGGGGCTTATTAATTAAAAATGTCAAGGCCGTTTGACCTGCAAATATCTGTGAATTTAATGTGCGTGAATATATGCACAAATAAATGTTCTTTAGTTTTTTACTCTACAAGGGGATTTCATTTTGAACGTTCTGCTTGTGATATCACATTATGGCCACTAGGTGGAGATGAGGAGCATGGAGAATTAATACCTATTTCCTAGCCTCCTTTATCCCCATCTAGTGGCCATAACGTGATATTACAAGCAGAACATTCAAAATGAATTCCACTTGTAGAGTAAAAAAAAAAAATGTAAATGCTCATTTATGCATACAGCATATTTGCACAGAAATAACATTCCATGAATTATAAATTAATCCCTTTCTGTATATCACAGATAGGGGTCTCTATCCACAAGGAGAGAGACAGCCCAGGAAATACAGGACTGTACCTGAGGTTGAGGGGAGACACGGGTGTCACGGAATGTGCACACTGGAGTCAACGGATGACACAGGAATCAATGGTGACACGGTAGTGCATAGGGGTCACTGGAGGCAGAGGAGTGCAGGGGTCATTGGAGACATTGGGGGTCACAAGAGTGCTCAGAGGTCACAGAGTCACTGGAGCCACAGGAGTGCCGGGGTCATTAGAGACATAGGAATCACTGGTGACACAGTAGTGCATAAGGGTCACTGGAGGCAGAGGATTGCAGGGGTCATTGGAGACATCAAAGGTCACAGGAGTGCTCAGAGGTCACAGAGTCAATGGAGGCACAGGAGTGCACAGGGGCTGATGAGACACTGAGGTCATGAATGTGCAGGGGTCACTGCAATGCACAGGAGCCTCAAGGGACTCAAAGGCACTGATGTTTCAGGGGGCACAGAGACACAGGAGTCTAGAAGGTCACAGGTCTGAAGGACACGGGTAGATGCTGGGACACATGGGGGCTCAGCTTCAGCTCGATGCATTGCTCTAACGCCAAGCATTGTTTTGCCTACCCTTTCAACATTGCCAGAGCACTATGGTACTGGCTATGGTTCTAGCACTCCAGGGGGAACCCAGAACTACCAACAGCCAGCTGCTGGAGACAAGACCTGGTGACCTGGACCAGACCTTGCACTGGGTCAAGGACAAGGTTAGTGTGACACCGTATGAGAAATCAAGGAGTCTGTGGTGAGCACGTCCCGGAATTCTTCCCCGTTTGCTCCCTGTATGCATTTCAAGGTTTACTTTTCAGTTGCGATTGGACTTTACATTTCATTTTTAAGTTTCATACAATTTGTTGTAGTTACATAGTATTTGAGGTTGAAAAAAAAGACAGAGGTCCATCAAGTTCAGTGTGTGTGTGTGTGTGTGTGTGTGTGTGTGTGTGTGTGTGTGTGTAAGCGCTGGCCCCTTTCTTTGTTATCCTTTTTGGTCTGTCCCTTGATTTCCCTTGCATGCGATTTATTGAGCCGCAGACCATACTGAATAGCGTGTAGTATGTTCTGAACTTCCATTGGCTGCTCCGAGCAGCCGCAGAGGCGCACGTGTTTGACCCGACGACCCTTCGTCTCCGCCACACTCATAATCGGGAGGAGAGACCTGAGCGAAGACACGGCCGCCTTTAAACCTGATAGCGTGTCTGCCCGGCCTGTCAGCTGGACACGGCCATTACGGATCTAAATGAAAGCAGAGGGCTCCGGGGAAAGCATGACAGCTATTGTGTATCAGTCAGCGTCACCTGGGCCTGAGCGGCGGATATAACGCAGCTCCGTCTGTTCTGTGTCACAGAGGGCGGCAGATCGGATGGGGGGGGGGTTTTGGGGGTTTTTTTTTGCATCCTCTAAGTCCCCTTGCGCCCCATCCCGCCAGCACCGTCACTCTATCCCTCATTCCCGGCTTTCCACATAAAACCGTCACACCCGTCACTGACACTCCATGTCCGCCCTCCTCGTCGCCCTTTCCTTGCTTTGTAGCTCTTAACGAATGTTTCTTTGTAGGGAGTAGACCGAGCTGCGCAGATTATATCTGAGGCCCCCGAGAAAAGTTCATACAGCACATTAACCAAACTCCAGCCAGAGAGCTGGGAACTTGAACTCTTTTACCTGGCAGAATATCTGCCGTTCGGTCTAGCCGCTCCCGTGGTTTACATATGCATTGCTGTACATATAGTCTGGGGGTGACACCAGCTTTTCCTGGTGCAACTTTGTAGCTTCGTGTGTCACCTGCCTGCTCAGTGAACCATGAATGTGAATTATTGTAGTGCTGAGGTCCTCTTGGTGCTTCTGTGAGCTGTCTAAATACCTTCCTTTGCAGACCCAGTACCTAAAACATGCCAGAATGACACCACCATGCAGGACATTGTGTGAGGACAATAAAAAGACAGATTTCAGGCAGTTATAGTAGCTGTGTCTTACAGGGATAATGGTTTTAACCGGTTGTGGGCACTGGGCATGCTACACGCACCCAAACCAACTTCATGAAAGTACACAGGGTGTGTGTGGTACATCGTGCCATTCTGCCCTGCTGCCGCTCCTGCCCTGGTACCTGCCCGCAATTCCCAGCTGTCTAAAATGACAGCGGGAACTTTTGTGACAAAACAAATGACAGCCGGGAATGTCTGTGTACAGTAGTGGAAGACTGTAGTTGCTGCTGTCAAGTGTTTAAAGGTGGCCATACACTCTACAACCATCGCAAGACTTTAGTCTTGCGATGGTTGTAAAGGGATTAAAAAAACGTGCGATCTGCCCATCTTGGGCAGGCAGATCGCACTCTCGATCATCCTGATGGGCGGGCTTCCGATGACCGCAATGCTGAACGGGCAGTGTGCGCGTGCGCACACCGGCCCGTTCAGCATTTATCTTCCGAGCACCGTTCTAACCAGCCGAGAATCGTACGATTCCCGGCTGGTTTTCGAACATGCTGGTTCGACAGAAGACGTGCGACCGTACAGTAGAAACGGTCGCACGTCTCCGTTCACACTGCTCGATTATACAAAGTAATACTGTTTATAAACATTGATCAGAGGGGAGATAGAGAGATACAAAGTAACATTGTTTATAAACATTGATCAGAGGGAGATAGAGAGATACAAAGTAACATTGTTTATAGACATTGATCAGAGGGAGATAGAGAGATACAAAGTAACACTGATACTTTTGTATTTACTCCGTTTCATTCATCTGCAGATCAAAGTGATGAGCTTCCATATGATGTCAGTTAAAGCAACTTGACAATGTAAAAAATTATTGTAAAAAAATCAAATGTATTCCTATTGAACTCCTTAGTTTGCCATAACCAGCCCTTATTAACTCCTTCTTCCCGGTCTCCTCAACTATTACTTTCTTGATTTATTTTTAATTTCTATTTTTCTTTCTAACCTTAAATTTTTAAACTTTTTTTTACATTTTTTTGAGGTTGGTAATTGAAATTTGCACTAGCACAAGCTTAATAGCTTAATTATAACAGTGTCATTGTCTCTGTGCTTGCAGGTAGAATTATCGGACGGGACGTCTCACACAATAACGGATGCCTATGCCGGGAAGGAGTACATCATCCAGGTGGCAGCCAAAGACTATGAGATTGGGACGTGGAGCGACTGGAGTGTAGCGGCACACGCCACACCGTGGACGGAAGAGCCCAAATACATCACCACAGAAGCCCAGAAAGCAGGTGAGAGCGGCCAAACACCGATTGTGATTACCAGAGGAGGCTCAGTACAGATACACGCTGGCTATAACTGGAATATTCCTCAATACGCATCACATAAGATGTGACCTGACTATACATAGCAAAGCCTGATGTGTATACATGAGTACAGAACAAGCTCCAGGGAACACTGGGACATTCATATCAGCATCTGCACAAGAGCTTACACTCTAATGTCCCCCCACAGTCACACACAATAATTATACATTTATATAGCTCTGACATATACCGCAGCACTGTACAGAGGAGCTTACACTCTAATGTACCCCCACAGTCACATCAGTCTCTGTACAGAGGAGCTTACACTCTAATGTCCTCCCACAGTCACATCCGTCTCTGTACAGAGGAGCTGACACTCTAATGTCCCCCCCACAGTCACACACTATTATTATACATTTATATAGCTCTGACATATACCGCAGTGCTGTACAGAGAACACTGAGCCTGTCACACCAGTCTCTGTACAGAGGAGCTTACACTCTAATGTCCTCCCACAGTCACATCAGTCTCTGTACAGAGGAGCTTACACTCTAATGTCCTCCCCACAGTCACATCAGTCTCTGTACAGAGGAGCTTACACTCTTATGTCCCCTCCCCCACAGTCACATCAGTCTCTGTACAGAGGAGCTTACACTCTAATGTCCCCTCCCCCACAGTCACATCAGTCTCTGTACAGAGGAGCTTACACTCTAATGTCCCCTCCCCCACAGTCACATCAGTCTCTGTACAGAGGAGCTTACACTCAATACAATGAATATGAGAGAATATACAAACTCCTGTTTTATAATTCTGATTTTCAAAGTCAACTTCAAAGTTTGGAGACACAGGGAGGCCTCGGTATCTGATGTTTCCAGAGCCTGGCAGTGATTCTTATTCCCCATTGAAGGGTTAAAGGGTCTTCAGCCTCCGTGGGTCTTCATTATTTACTCATTAGGGTTTAATTACCCTTGTAGTGTTCCAGCCTGAGAGGTCAGCAGGCTTATATCCCCCAGGTGGAGGTTTTTATTGTGTCCTAGCAGGGGGGGGTGTCGTGTTCAAGATGGGTCAGAGCTTCACGCCAAGCAAACAAGGCTTTGATGTTGAGTATTAATAATGAGGCTATAATACATAATGTTCATGGGACAAGCCCCAAAGGTTTATACAGAGGCCTCTCCGGGTGGGAGCAGGATGTATGGATTACCATCCCAAGTTAGGAATTCTTTAACAAATAATTCCAAAATACAAAAACAATGGGACCTGGCAGAGGGAAAAGTAAATAGATTTGTGGGGGTTTCTCATTAGAGAGATCCTAAGCAGGAGAAAGAAGGTCCTGATTCCTCTATATAGACCTTTATTATCACTAGAGGGATCCCCAGCAGGAGGAAGGAGGTCCTGATCCCTCTATATAGAGCTTTATTATCACTAGAGGAGTCCCCAGCAGGAGGACGGAGGTCCTGATCCCTCTATATAGATCTTTATTATCACTAGAGGGATCCCCAGCAGGAGGAAGGAGGTCCTGATTCCTCTATATAGATCTTTATTATCACTAGAGGGATCCCCTGCAGGAGGAAGGAGGTCCTGATTCCTCTATATAGATCTTTAGGTATCACTAGAGGGATCCCCAGCAGGAGGACGGAGGTCCTGATCCCTCTATATAGATCTTTATTATCACTAGAGGGATCCCCAGCAGGAGGAAGGAGGTCCTGATTCCTCTATATAGATCTTTATTATCACTAGAGGGATCCCCAGCAGGAGGAAGGAGGTCCTGATTCCTCTATATAGATCTTTAGGTATCACTAGAGGGATCCCCAGCAGGAGGAAGGAGGTCCTGATTCCTCTATATAGATCTTTATTATCACTAGAGGGATCCCCTGCAGGAGGAAGGAGGTCCTGATTCCTCTATATAGATCTTTAGGTATCACTAGAGGGATCCCCAGCAGGAGGAAGGAGGTCCTGATTCCTCTATATAGATACCTACAAAGACCAACCTGCAGACAATCAGATCAGTAGAACATTAAAGGGACAAGAGCCGCCTGTAGGTAATCGATTGATTGTCCACCTAGTGCTGTTGCACATTTAATGATCTACTGATCCAATTGTCATCAGATCCAAGAGAACCCAATAGACTGTAAAACATCCAATAGGCAAGACCACCCATAGCCCATCTGAATAGTAGAACATTAACAACGTGTTGCAAAGTAGTTTGGTGGAACAATCAATGGACCAGACCAACGTGTAGCCAGTCAGACTGATAAAACATTTAATGGAAAAGATCGCCTTTAGTCAACCAGATTTATAACGTTTTCAATGAAAAAGATCACCTGTAGATTTTGATCAGTAGAACATTAAATTAACAAGAGCCACCTGTAGTTAGTTGATTGATTGTCTACAGACTGCTTTTGTCCATTTAATGTTTTAATGACTCAAATGTCATTAGATCCAGTGGCGTAACAATCACCATAGCGACCCAGGCGGGCCCGAGGGTCATAGGGGGGCCCGGCCAGGACATCCCCCTGATGCCGTGCGGGCCGCCTGGGTCGCTATGGCATCTCAGGCTGCTGGCTGTCACTGGCGGCTGTGAGGTGGAACGCGCCGCTATTCACATGTGCAGCGACGCGTTCCTCCTCACAGCCGCTACTGAGTCGGTGACAACCAGCAGCTTCGGAGGAGGTGGCTGAGCCCTTCGTCGGCAGCGATGGAGGAGGTGGGGCCCAGCAACCGAGGAGGCGGGCCTTAGCAATGGGTGAGGCGGGGCCCGCAAGCGATCGTGGAAAAGGAGGCGGACAGAGGATCGTTGCAGACAGGTAAGAGGGCTTGACCGCCTACCTGAGACCCTGCAGAGCCCACCATAGAGAGTCTATGGTGGGCTCTGCAGGGTCACCCTCAGGTGGGCTGTTTGGGTTATCAGGTGGGCTTAATCAGGTGGGCAAAATTTTGCCATGGGGCCCTGTGATTTCTAGTTACGCCCCTGATTAGATCCAATAGACAAGGCCACCTATAGCTCATCTGATTAGTAGAAGCAGATCTGTAAGACGACCAATGGACTAGACCAACGTGTAGCCAATTGGCTTGATAAAACATTCAATGGAAAAGATCACCTGTAGCCAATAGGATCAGCAGAACATTAAATACAGGACCAACCTATAGCCATCGAGCTCATGGAAGCCTCCAGCTATTTAAATGACTGGAATATTTAGGTAGCACGTTGTACTACACAGAGCCAATTAAACCAGTAGAGCTTTCCTAACTACATGTTACAACCTAAAATATATCTAATAAATGTAACTGCCATAAACGCGGCCCCGCACCAGTCTTCTCATCTCCAGCCATTTTGTCTAATCTTTTTAATGGGTTACCGCCTGAACTTTGTGCCGTTCTGCTTTTTTTTTTGTCGTATGAAGATGTTTGCTCAGCGAGTCCCGGCAGCGATCCAAACTGTACATTTTCTCATACGGTTTAGTAGCTGCAGTATCACCTAACAGGAAATTGGCCGTTTCCTAAATTAATTTCCATTTAAAAGCGCGCGCCTCCCCCTCCCCACTGCTCACCTCGCTCTCTCGCTGGTTTAGGAGCTTTGGAGTGGAAGGGAACTTAGCAAAGGAGGAAGCTATTTGAGCGCTGTAACAAGCCATATATCATAATTATCATCAGGCCTGCACTGTAATTGACTTAAGGGCCATTGGGGAAAATCCTGCTTTTTAGAGCAGAATGTGAATGACGTTCCCTGGGATGTAAATAACCGGATTTAGAATATGAATTATATTCTCCAGAATGGGTTTTGTGAGCTTCGGAAAACATGAATGACTGGGCTCGAAATGGGAAACCAGCGCTTAAATGAAGACGGATGTTGTTTGCAATTCAAATGATAACGGAGTACTTTGGGAACTTGGAATTTATAAAGTGTTCCTCGGCCGCGCGGCATCGGGTTTCTGGATTTACAAAGTGCAGCGGGCAAAAAAAAGCTTGCGCATGGAGTCTAGGCGCTAATTGTCAGGGAGGTCCTCCTGGGGAAGGAAATTCCTGTCACCGCTGTCACCAGTTATTAGAGCCCATCTGTTTCATGCCTGAATGGAATGTTTTTAATGTATATCAAAGCCAAAAAAAACTTTTTTTTTAAATCTTATTTAGTTAATATATTTTTATTATTTTGTTTCACAAGAATACATTTATACATAAAACATTCAAAGATATTTAACTTCAGGTTATCTCTTGATTATCAATAATAATTTATAGCTCTAATTAAAAAAAAACTTCTACCCGTTTCCATCATCAGTCACTTGCCAACCAACCAACTTCAATCACCCCTATCACACTCTCCTCTCACACTCATTCTCCAACTTTTTATCTTATTTAGGAGAAAGGTTCAGGGGAAAGGTTAAACAACAAAAGTAAAAAAGACACAGCGCTCTCTTGGGAGTGTGAGGTATGTGTGGATGCGGTCAGTGTGGATTGCTGCTCTAAAATCAGGGGGGAGAAACCTGTGAACATGGAAATTAAGCAATAAGAGCGCAAATCCTGAGAGTGTGAATGGTGTAGGGACAACCAGTGTCTATGGGATACAGGTAGAAAGAACAGAAAAATGGGGACTTACTTGAGGAGCCAAGGGTCCTGGCAAGGGGTGCCCCAATGGGGTTCTAGCAATGGCAGACGTATTCGGTGTATGGTGGTCTCCGGATGATGGCTTGGAGGCAAACCGAACCAAGTCCTAGGATTGGGCCATGACGGCTGGAAATAGTGCCATCTGGTATGAAGGTGAATCCGGGAGTGAAAGGATAAATGAAGGATCAATTTGAACTGAGTACTGTGTGTGTCGAGGGGCTGGTGGAGAGGCAGCCTCTAGTCTTGATCGAGGTGTTTTTGGGACGTGATGGAGTGGAGGTGACAGAAGGCTGGGGAAGAACGTGCACGGAGCGGTGGTGAAGCAGACCTTCCATGGCTTTTTTGACAGCCCCCACCCCCCACCCCCATTTGTAATAACCATTTGCCCCTCATAAAAAAACAACTATACATTGACCCTGGTCTCCGATACTTACGGTAGGCACAGGTGACATCAGTGTGCCTCCCTGCAAGACCCAGGGCTCAAAATCCCATGGGAATGCACTCTTGCAAGGGCCATTCTTGTGGGGATTTTGAGCTTCCACTCTTGCAGGAGGCATTCTTGTAGGATACTCGGTTCTCAGCTCTGCTGGTGATGTAACCCGTGCCTCCTGGAAGCAAACATTAGAGGCCAGGACTGAGGTGTTGCGGGGGGCAGGGGATTGGGAAAAAGAGGACCTTCAGTTCTTCAGTTTGCCATGGCAGGTCCACTTTAAAGCTCTTTTTGTTTGTTTGCAGTGATTGCCCCATTGGGAACATTGTCCTTCCATGTTCCTGGCCTGTAGACACAACAAATTGGGAAGAGGTAGAGCAACAGGAAGGGGGAATTCTCCTCGTAGGAAGTTGTTACTAGAACATATGCCTCCATTGGAAAGATTTCCCCTCAATTGTAAATTTTGGATTTTTCCCTGGCAGTGGTCACCAGGACAAATAGAGAGAGTGAATCTCCCTGACGGGCGCACAGACGACAATTATGACTTGAAATCTGTGGAACCGAGGTGCTGGATCTAAGGGGGTTGATTTACAAAAGAAGACTAACACATTGCAAAGTGAATTGTGATTTATTATTATGAATGAGGTGAAGCCAAGAAAAAATTCACGTTGCAATCGGCACAGTAAGTATTCTTATTGCAAAGTGAATTTTCACTTACCTTAAAAGAGAACTATGGGGTAAGTGTTTTTCCCCATAGTTCTCTTAAGGGTCACGGGAGGACATATACTAACCTCCTCCCGTGACCCAAAGCTCAGTATATCGCGAGCTATAGTTCGCGGTATACTGAGACCGCCCCAGCCGGGACGGATCCCGACATTACTGTCAAGCTCCACCCAGCTGCGTGAATGACAGCTGGCTCTGCCTATCTAGAGGCAGAGCCAGCTGTACCCGCCCCCGCGCCAGTCAGCGCTGAGGATCGGAGCGGGGGAGTCCCTGCAGGGAGCCGTGAGTGACAGTCCCCGCTTTCTGCAGGGAGACGATCGAGAAGTGAGCGAACGCCGGTATGTGTTTGCTCACTTCTCGATCTATTGAGCCGACCTGTGACAGTTTCATTGTCACAGGTCGGCTCGAACTATGAGGCTGAGTGAAAATCACTCCCCTCATAGTTCTCTTTTAAGGGTTGCTTTATAAAACTTCTGCACAGCCACAGGCCTAGGAATTTCGTATGCTCTCCAGCTCCACCTAGTAGTAGGAACGTTCGGTGAAAGTTCGTCTTTGGAAAGGGAAAGGCAAGAAAATGGAAGGGTGCAAAGTGAACACGCTCCAGTCCTGTAGCAAATCAACCCCATTGGGTATCAAGTCTAAGTTTGTGATGTGGAATGAGGTGGAGCGCAGTGACTCTGGATAGGCTGTTGGCACACATGAAGATGTTCCACAAGATGCCCCAACTGGATCGCAAGTGGTTGGAGAGAAATGGAACGTCACACTTTTCTTAATCCTAATCAAGTCCAAAATGTTTTTTATACTCATCTCAACACACTTGCTTTAGCTCTTCTCCGTGTGGCTGGATGGCGCACAATCAGTGGGGGGAAGTTTGGTGCTGGTGGGGAGTGACGCTGCTAATAGCTGGGTCGGGGAGAGAAGGAAGGCCTAAGAATCTCCCCGCCCAGCTCTTGGCAACTTGGAGCACTCTACCCAGCAACCTGCCGACCTCCTGCCAACCATCACTGGATGCCAGGAGCTTGGTGGGATGCCGGCAAGAGCATCCCAGGTTGCTAAGAGCTTGGCAGAGAGATGTGACTGGCCCTACAAATCTCCCCGCCCAGCTCTTAGCAACCTGGGACCTTCTGCCCAGCATACCGCCGACCTCCTGCCAACCAGTGACATCACTGGTTGCCAGGTGCTTGGTTGAATGCTGGCAAGAGCATCCCAGGTTGCTAAGAGCTGAGCACAGAGATGTGTATGGCCCTACAC